GGAGCTGCAGGTGCTGCCACTGGTACTCCTCCTCATTCCTGGCATGCCTGCTGGCCCGGGTACAGGCAGCTGTTGCAGGCAGGGTGGTGCGCCCTGCAGTCCCAGGTGCTGCGGCTGTGGTGAAACAAGAGCACCGGTCAATTCTCCCTGGGGACCAGGTGGGTGAAACCCAGCCCCCCTCTGCAAGGCCAGGGCCCCTGCATGACACCCAGCTACTGCTCCATGGTGGGCAAGGCCCAGGCGCATGGTCCCTGGGCTCCCTCTCCCCCCACCCCCCAGTACACATAAGGGGAGCATGATGGTACTCACATGTGGAGGCCTCCCCGGCATCGGACGACACAGGAGACATGCTCAGTGGGGTGTCTCGGGGGTCCTTGGTCCTGGGCAAGCTGCCGGTAGGCTTCTGGCTCCTGGCGTTCTCCGGCTCCTCCTCCTCCGTGTCCAGGAGTGGTCCCTCTGCCCCGGGGTCAATCATCACTCAGGGAGTCCTCATCCTCCTCCTCCTCCGTCTCTGGGGGCGGTCCCTTTGCCCCGGGGTCTATCACGTCCTGGGGGGCAGGGGCGGCAGGAGCCCCCAGGAGGCGGTCCAGAGCCTGGAAGTGGGGGCACGCCTCCAGGTCGTCCCCTGCCTGGCAGACCCGGGAGTAGGACTGCCGCAGGTCCTTGATCTTACAGCGCACCTGCTCCCAGCTACGCTGGTGGCCTCTGGCGGCAGGCTGTCAGCCATGCGGCCATACACGTCCGCATTCCTGTGGCTAGTGCAGAGATCATGGACATTGGAGGCTTCCCCCCAAACCTCGATGAGGTCCACGATCTCCACACTTGACCAAGCGGGCGCCCGCCTCTTGCGGCCCCGGGCAGGCTCCTCCCGTGGCAGCTGCAGGGTCTGCTGGCAAGGTGCTGGCAGGCTTGCAACTGGCACAAACACTGTAGCCAGCCCGTGGCCCTTTAAGGGCTCCGGGGCCGGGAGGGGGGCAGTAGAGTTTGCCTGGTGTTGGCCAGAGTGGCCAGCAGGGCAAGCTGGGAAGGGCTAGCCTCCTACTAGTTCGAATTAAGCGGCTACACACCCCTTAATTCGAACTAGTTAGTTCGAACTAGGCATTAGTCCTCGTGAAATGAGGTTTACCTAGTTTGAATTAAGTTCGAACTAGCGGATCGCTAGTGTAGCGCCTATCAAAGTTAATTTGAACTAATGTCTGTTAGTTCGAATTAACTTTGTAGTGTAGACATACCCAGGGAGACATGTGGGTTAGAGAGAAATTTTTTTTTCAGCAAACTCCCTCCCAGCCATGAAAGACCTCTGTAACCTTCCCCCAAGAGCAAAAGTGTCCATCCCCATGTCTTGGCCATATCGCAGCCCAACAAGATTGTATTCTGATCCCTCCCAGAAATTCCCTCTTGCATGTAGCACAATTTTCCTACACTTTGGTTAGTGGTGACAGGGTCCTTGAGACTGTGGCTTTATGGCCATAAGTGGTGGATTGGGATCCCTGTTACTTGGGACATTTCAGACTGGCTAATACCTTGGGGGGAATAGGGAATTCGCCGGAACTGAAGTGCCAGGGAGGTTCCCCACCAAGTTCAGGTTGCAATAAATCTTGCAGTTCTTGGTTTCACTGAAGATGGCATTATGAAAACAGAAAGCTTTCTTTGCCCCTCCCTTGTCCCCAGGGCTCAAGCACTTGCTCCTTCCATTGGAATAAGAAAGCATGCCGACATCCCCAAATGACCACCTGCCTCTGAGAATAAACTTACCAAGGTTCACCTGTTCCACAACACTCTTGGGCTCACTAAAGGATGGGTGATGCACCACGCAGGTGCAGTTTTCAATTCCTTCACTTCTTTCGACCTTCAGGATGCTGTAGGTGGATAAAGTGCCACTTCCTGTCACAGGGCCATTGTTGTAACTGGACTTGAGGACCGGGGAGTTATTCTTCAACCAGGAGATGCTGATGTCTTCGGGGGAAAAGCCGCTAGCTTCGCAGACAAGAGTCAAGGAGACTCTGTCCCCTGAGTCATCTTCATGGTAGGCTTTTGAGATGGTGATGAGAGGCTCCTTCATAGCGATGCCTACATGAAAACAAAGAGGGGCAAGACAAGAATAAGACTTAGCGTACGTCTAGACTACCGCGTTTTGTCGATGGAAGTTTTGTCGACAGATACTGTCGACAAAACTTCCGTCGACAAACAGCGTCCAGACACATTGAGTTCTGTCGACAAAGCAAGGTGCTTTGTCAACAGAACTCCGTAGTCTGGACACAATGTTACAGGCAATAACACCTTCTGTCGACAGAAGGTGTTATTGCCTGTAACATTGTGTCCAGACTACGGAGTTCTGTTGACAAAGCACCTTGCGGTAGTGTAGACGCTGGTATAGTTTTGTCGACAAAAGTCCACTTTTGTCGACAAAACTAGGTAGTCTAGACACACCCTTAGTTGCACATCTAATGTTGAGACTTAGATCCAGCAACTATCGCTCTGTAAAGGGACCAGAGAGCAAATGTTGAGGATGAGTGTGATGCTAGACCAAGCAAAAGAAAAACTCAACAACTGGGCAACATGTTCCTTGAGACTCAAAGACCCAAAACACTGAACTTTAGGTGCTTCTCCTTAAAGTGCACAGTGAATGTCCAGATCCTTACTCTTAAATGGCAACAAATTAATATTATCTTTGTTTTCATGATATTCAATTTCTTTGCTTCCCTCATCTATATAATCTCTTCCTTCCTCGTTATCTTCACCTTCTTCAGATCACAATCTTCACTGTCACCCTCCTCTTCTTCACCATCTTCTTCAGCATTCTGATGTTCTTTCCCTTGTTGTCCGTCAGCATCTTCGTTATCATCAGCACTATCTTCATCTCCTTTTGGATCGTCAACAGGGTCCTCACCCTCAGTTTGGCTTTGACATCATGCAGATGGACACTGGGCTTGTGGCTGTTCCTGCATCCCAAAACTGAACCCTCACCCCAAACCGTCGACCTCACTATCTGCTCTTTACCCCATCTCTGCAGTCAAGCCTGTGTATTATCATGAACCTCATTCTATCACAGCTGTATTGAAGACACCTTGAGGTTTTCAAAGGTTGGTTGAGGGATTTGGAGACATTGGCGATCTTAGTGGGATTTGAGCCCCTAACTCCAATGGATTCTCTCCAAAATTTCCACCAGACATGGCACCAAAAGCCGGAAACCATCCACATTAACCAGGCTGATTCCAAGAAGTGAGAAATATATTTGTGTAACAGCCACAAACAGAACAAAACCTGGGACCTTTAGAACTTAGTGGCTGTGTCTAGACTGGCCAGTTTTTCTGGAAAATCAGCCGCTTTTCCGGAAAAACTTGCCAGCTGTCTACACTGGCCCTTTTGCGCAAAAAGCCCCGATCGCCATTTTCACGATCGGGGATTTTTTGCGGAAAACAAATCTGAGCTGTCTACACTGGCCCTTTTGCGCAAAAAGGCCAGTGTAGACAGCTCAGATTTGTTTTCCGCAAAAAATCCCCGATCGTGAAAATGGCGATCGGGGCTTTTTGCGCAAAAGCACGTCTAGCTTGGCCACGGATGCTTTTCCGCAAAAGCACTTTTTGCGGAAAAGCATCCGTGCCAATCTAGATGCTCTTTTCCAAAAATGCTTTTAACGGAAAACTTTTCTGTTAAAAGCATTTCCGGAAAATCATGCCAGTCTAGACGTAGCCGGTGTGTGCATGCATTGCTACCACTGGAGCTAAAGGCAGCTGGCTTTCAGCTGAGGCTATAGAGTAGTGGTGTACAATAAATTCTGAAGTAGTAGTCACTATCATGGCTACTGCTATAGAGAACTAGCCACACTCAACGGGACAAATAGCTGCTAGTGGCCAGTGTGTTGGACACCATGGGTGTGTCTAGACTACATGCCTCCGTCGATGGAGGCATGTAGATTAGCCAGATCGGCAGAGGGAAATGAAGCCGCGATTATTTTAATCACGGCTTTATTTCCCTCTGCCGATCTGTCTAATCTACATGCCTCCGTCGACGGAGGCATGTAGATTAGACAGATCGGCAGAGGGAAATGAAGCCGCGATTATTTTAATCACGGCTTTATTTCCCTCTGCCGATCTGTCTAATCTACATGCCTCCGTCGACGGAGGCATGTAGATTAGACAGATCGGCAGAGGGAAATGAAGCCGCGATTATTTTAATCGCGGCTTCATTTTCCTCTGCCGATCTGGCTAATCTACATGCCTCCATCGACGGAGGCATGTAGTCTAGACACACCCCATGGCTATAGAGGAAACTCATTCTTTCTCTCTGTAAGTGGTCTAAATGCCACTGGATGGGAAAATGAACCACATCCAGTATGTGTGTGGGTTATATCTGCATATTACTTTAGAGTCTAAAATGGGACATTGGTGTGCCTAAACTACAAGCCTCTTTCGAAAAAGAGCATCTAAACTACAAGCAGATTTTTCGAAAAAGCAAGCCGTTTTTTCAAAAGAGTCTAGACTATTTGCATTGAATAGTGCTTTTTTTTTCAAAAGCTGACTTTCGAAAAAAGACATTATTCCTCGTAGAATGAGGTTTTCTGCCATCGAAAAACTGCCGCGTTCTTTCGATTTACTTTCGAAAGAACGTGGCTGTCGTCTAGATGCAGGTGACATTTTTTTTGAAAAAAGGCTCCTTTTTTTCGAAAAAACCCCCTGTAGTCTAGACATACCCTAAGGTTTGGTCTACACTTACCAGGAAATAGGTGCTGTGAGGATTTTTTTCCCCCGGTACTTCTCCGGGTCAAGAAGAGTAAGGGGAGATGATGGGAAAATGTTTCCCATGGACTCTCTGCTGTGGGAGTGCTGCAGTAATTTGAACTAAGCAATGTTGATGCCAGATATTCTTTCCTCATCACTGGAATCACGAACCTGAGATCCACACTACCTCCTCGGGTGTGTCTACACAGCAGGGCTGAACTCAAAAAAAGCTACTTCTCCGGGTCAAGAAGAGTAAGGGGAGATGATGGGAAAATGTTTCCCATGGACTCTCTGCTGTGGGAGTGCTGCAGTAATTTGAACTAAGCAATGTTGATGCCAGATATTCTTTCCTCATCACTGGAATCACGAACCTGAGATCCACACTACCTCCTCGGGTGTGTCTACACAGCAGGGCTGAACTCAAAAAAAGCTACGTCCATTGCGTAGCTTATTTCAAAATAGCTTGTTTCAAAATTGGGCGCATCTACACAGCACTTATTTCACAACAGAGCACTCTTCCTGAGACTTCCCTTACTCCTCATTCAAGGAGGGTTACAGGCGTCGGAGTAAAAAGTCCTCCAGCTTGACAGTATTGGGACATTATTTTGAAAAACTGCCCACTGTGTGGACGCAGACTACCGTAAAGTCGCGAGTATAGTGCGCACTTTTTTTCCCATTTTTTAACGTTGAAGTCGGGGTGCGCATTATCCATAGGAGGTTTTTTTAAAAGTTTTAAACTCAACCTCGGCAGGCCCGAGCTGGGTGTGGGGGGTCAGGCACGGGCGGGGCTGGGCTGGGCTGGGGGGACCAGCAGGTGCAAGCTTGGCGCTCCAGCAGCAGGGTGGGGGATGCTCCCCTGGCAGGTGCGAGCTTGGCGTGTGGACCGCTGGGCAGAGGAGGCTCCCCCGGCAGGCATGAGCTCTGCGTGCACAAGCTCAGCCGGGCAGGGGGCCGGCGACAGGCGCGAGCCCCTTCCTTCCTATCCATACCTTAAAATCTCGAGTATAATGGGGGTGCGCATTATAGATACGAGTTTAGTTTATTCCAGAATTTTGACCTTTAAAAGGCAGATGCGCATTATACATAGGTATACTCGAGATTTTATGGTAAGATATTTTGAAAAATATTGCTGTGGTCTCAGTGCCGAATGCCAGATCCCCAGATCCCAGGAAGTGAAGGGAGTAAAATTCTAGCAGGAGCTGGTATTTAATGATAACACCGGGCATAGTGGGAAAACCATTCAAGTGGAAATTAATTATGACACACCCCACAATGAGAGAGTCACAGGAAAAATATTAATTATACTCGAAATTCACACCTGTGCTGAGGTCCCAGGATCTACTGAAGTCCTGTTTTGGGGGTTAAAGATCAGGGATAGGCAATAAAACTATTGCGATTCACGAGGCTTAGCTCCTGGTGGGCGGATGGTGCTATGTTTACCTGCACCTCCACAAGTATGGGCGATCGCTGCTTCCATTGGCCAAAAAAGGAGATCCGCAGTCAACAGGAGCAGCAATCCCCTGTACCTGTGAGGTGTCAGTAAATATAGCAGCATGGGAACCCACCGGGGGCTAACTCTGGCAGACCAGATCCAGCCTCCAAGACAGGATTTGCCCACCTCTGACATAAAGGCTGCCTAGGACGTGTACAAGATGAGTTTCATGCGCTCATCCCAATTAACTGGAGTTTGCATTTCCCTTAGCAATTCCATGGCTCCTCACCTTTGTTTCTCGTGGTTATCTCCTGGGTGAGTTCTCCAGAACAGAACGTGCTCACTTTGCAGGTAAATCTGGTGCCTTGTTCCCACTGTGCCTGTGACACTGGGTGGGAGCTAACCAGGCTGGTTGTCCCGTTGTCATTCTTTTTGGGGTCTTCTGTCTTCCCTGCAGAACTGCCTTTCCCCTCCACTTGCCAGGTGATGCTGGTGGCTGTTAAGTCGTAACCCAAAACTAGACAGGTCACGCGACCAGAATCTTTTATCACGTCTTCATAGGAAGGTTTGGTCAAGTAGATGGCTGGCACAAGTGAGCTTTTGGGGCAGGCTGTGAAATGCAGAAAGACCAGTATCAATAATGTGGGAAGGCAGAAAGACTTATCTCATCCCGATACCTCTCTTCCTATCTTACCTCTAAGGCTACGTCTACACTAGCACCCTTTTCCAGAAATGCTTAAAACGGAACAGTTTTCCATTATAAGTATTTCTGGAAAAAGCATGTCTACACTGGTAGGATGCTTTTCCGGAAAAGCACTTTTTTCCGGAAAAGCGTCCGTGCCAATGTAGACGCGCTTTTCCGCAAAAAAGCCCCGATTGTCATTTTCAAGATCAGGGCTTTTTTGCGGAAAACACTACTGGGCTGTCTACACTGGCCCTTTTCCGGAACAGTTTTTTCGGAAAAGGACTTTTGCCCGAACCGGAGCAGCATAGATCGTCATTGCTTTTCCAGAAAAGCAAGCAGCCAGTGTAGACAGCTGGCAAGTTATTCCAGAAAAGCGGCTGATTTTCCGGAATAAGTGGCCAGTGTAGACACAGCCTATGTGTTATGACGGAAGTGGATAGATGATCTTATCTTATCTTATCTTATCTTCAAGATAAGATATGGTAGCATAAGATTAACTATCAACCTCCATCACAAATCTTCCAGTGTCCATCCATCTATCCATCCATCCACCCCATCCACTCTCTTTTCCCTTCTATTCACAATATCAAACTATTTAACTTCTACTGCTCCCATCACTCTGAGGTCTAGAGCAAAGATTCTCAAATGGTACCTCTGCCTTCTTCTGACAACAAAAATTACTATCCAACCCCAGGAGGTGGAGGAACCAAAGCTTGAGCCTGCCCAAGACCCCATTGCCCTCAGCTGGTTGGGGGGGGCGTAGTGTGGGTTCTGTCTGCTCTATGACCCAGGGTCCCCCTGCGCTGTGATGGGAGATTCTCACTGACTCTCCCAAATGTGTATTAACCCAGATACCCAGGCTCAGCCGCCTAAGGAGGGAGACAAAGGAAGGAGGGCGGAGACCAGCACCTGGCTAGGGAGCAGGGCTGGAAGAGAGTTTTAGTTTCTGTCTGGTATCATGGAGGAAGCAGCCTAGGGAAGGGGCTGGGATTTAGGGGCCCAGTCTCCCCCATCTCAAGGGGGGCTGAGGCATCCTAGGCCTGCCCTGTAACCAGATGACATCTGTGCTGTGCTGTATCCTGGAGAAGCAATAAACTCCCTCTGTTCTACTGGCTGGGGGAGTCTGTTCATGCCATTACGGGGATGCAGGAGTCAGGGGAACCCCGACATGCCGCCACAGGGGACAACGCCCCATCATCCTGGAAGAGGAACCTAAAGACCCCAAAACTCCTGGGCAGGGGGCGGGGAGCTTGAGACCCATAGCCCAGGGAGGAAGCTGCCGAAAAGTGTTTGTGGCTCTGTTTTGGTTCCAGGCTTCACCGAATGTAGAGCCCTTTCTGATAACCCATTGAAAACTTGGGGTCCTGAGCCACAGGTGGAGAACTGTTGGTCTAGGAGCCTTCCATCTAGTCTTAGGCAGGGCTGGTTCCTCAGTAACTCTCCACGCCCCCTGCACGGCCGTAGCCACTCACCCAAACACTTGCTGGTGTTGTACATGGAGGGTTCTGTTCCCCCCGTGGGATGAGTCACTTGGCAGGTGAAGATGTCCCCTCGATCCCAGTTCTGTTTGGGGATCTTCAAGCGGATCTGGCCCATGGAGGAGTCATTTACGCCCGTTGCAGAGGAGAAGGCCGAGGTAGGGAGGCTCGAGGCCTTTCCATTCATCAGCCATTTCACCTCGGGGATGCTGGATTGGAAACTCAGGAGGAAGCAAACCAGCTCCAGCTGGCTCTCCGTAGAGCTGTCCTCACAGGAGGGGGCCAACAGGTAAACCTGGGGCGGCATCATCGGACCACACCCTGAGGGCAAAGAGAGGGGACAACACAGTCCAGTGTCACTCTCTGTAGGTCACTGGTCCCCCTCCAGAGATAAGAAATACTTTATTCGGTATCTAGGGCTGAGATTTTTCACAGCCACGTAAGGGATTACAAGAAATGGAAACAGGACACTTAAATATTTTAAGCAAATGTTAAATGCTTTCAGTGTGATATTTCTGCATGTGCTTCATGGAGTGTGGTCTCCTTGGTTAACAGCAGGGACAAAGCTGGATCCTGAGCCGTGTTTATTTGAAGTTGTTTTCCTCAGTAAGTGACCCCTATTTAAGGGGGACTATTGCACTGTCTAGCATGACATGGCCTCAGAAGAAAACTTTGTTGCTCTGGCAGGTGAAATGGAGAAGAAGGAGCCAGGAATGGGTGGGACCTCAGACAGAAGTGGGTGTCCATGTGCCATGCTTTGGGGTTGTACTCATTTCAAAAGATGCCAAAGAATGGCAGGAGTGCAAGGAACACTCCGGCTACATCTACACTGGCACCCTTTTCCGGAAATGCTTAAAACTGAACAGTTTTCCGTTGTAAGTATTGCCGGAAAAAGCGCTTTTTCCGGAAAAGCATCCGTGCCAATGTAGACACGCTTTTCCGCAAAAAAGCCCCGATCATCATTTTCGCGATCGGGGCTTTTTTGCGGAAAAGAAATCTCTGCTGTCTACACTGGCCCTTTTCTGGAACAGTTTTCTGGAAAAGGACTTTTGCCCGAACGGGAGCAGCATAGTATTTCCGCAAAAGCACTGCTGATTTTACAGGAGATCGTCAGTGCTTTTCCGGAAATTCAAGGGGCCAGTGTAGACAGCTGGCAAGTTATTCCAGAAAAGCGGCTGATTTTCCGGAATAAGTGGCCAGTGTAGACATAGCCACACAGCTCCCTGCCAATGAGAGCAAGTGAACGCTAGCTCTTGTAAGCATAATGCCAACCGGTGGAACTGAACCCAGGACTTCTGGAACTTAGGGCATGAGCTGCTCCCAGATAAGCAGAAAGCCCAGAAGCTCTGAGCTAATCCTGTAGAGCAGTGGTCTCAGTGCCCCTAGAAGGGACTGTGCACCACCCCCAGAAGGTGTGTGGGTCCCATAAGCACATGTCTGCTATGGGAGGGTGTGGGCCCTTTAAGGCTGGTGGTTGCTGGGAAATGTAGTTTCATGGGACTACCTGCTGCAGTCTCTGTAAAGAAGACTTCTGGCTCAGAGTTGAGGAAAGCATCTGAGGGGGAAATCTCTACATGAGGACGAGGCAAGAGGTCTAGGAAACATCCAGGAAAGAGGGGTTCTACCCCAGCCAGCCAGCTGAACACCGGAGGGGCCTTGTGCTCTGTGTTACGGTGGTTTAGATTGTGTTTGAACAAAGCTGGACTGAAGTTTGGGCTTTGTTTCACCACCCCATCAATTTGCAAGGAGTGTCAGGTTAGGGTTAGGGAAGGGGTCAGGGTTAAGATTAGGGTTACGGATGAGGTCAGGGCGAGGGATGGGGTTCAGGTTAAGATTAGGGTTAGGGATGGTGTTAGGGTTAGGGTTGATGTTAGGTTTATAGATGGGGTTTGGGTTAGGACTAAGAACGGGGTTCTGGTTAGAGTTCTGGAGGAGGTTCGGGTTAGGGTTAGGAATGGGATTAGTGTTAGCTTTAGGGTTAGGGTTAGGAGGTAAGAGAGTCAACCAAAGTTTACCCTTCTACAAAAGGGACAGCATGAGGATTAGGAGCTATTTTTGCCCATCCCCGTGCCTGAGATTTTCCCAAGGTGCCTAAGGGATTTGGACACCAAGATCCCACAGGAGTTAGGTGCCTAAATCCTTTAGGTGGGACTGAAAAATACCCCCTTATTGGAACATGGTGGGGGGGAGGCTGCCCAGGGGTGATTTCGCCCTCTGGTTTTCCTTATTCTGAGATTCATGGGGTGTTTTCTGGGGTGGGGAGTGGAGGTTTTTCCCCATGGTACTTGCAGGATTAGATAAGGAAGAACTAGCTCCCATATCCAGTGCCATCCTCCCTCCCACACCCCATCCCCTGTTGCTTGTCTTACATTTCTGTGGGAATATGTTGGACACCAGCTGTTTGAATCCGTCATGCCTGATGTCACAATGATAGGTGTCGCTCTTCTGGGGCCCATCAGGGATGGTGAGCAGGCTGGTCTTGGTGTAAGCCCCTTCTCTAGTCAGTATATCTGGGAAAGCCTGGACCCCCTTGGTCACTCTGCCGGAATTCCACTGGATTTTTGCCTCCGATGATAAATAGTCAGTCACCAGGCAGACCAAGCTCATGCCCAAAGGATCGTTCCCAGTCTTGGTGCAGCAGGGAACCAGCGGGAAGATGGAGGGATCTGGGCGTTCTGCTGCTAGAAGAAAAAATAAAGAAAATACAAGTGAGACCATCAAAAAGGGGGGTAAATCTTTAAACCATGCTACTGATCAACCGGCAGCCACCCATCTACCTCCTCCCATGGTCTGATGAGTGTATGGCCCAGTGATTCACTCACTGGCTGGTGACTCAGGATGCCTGGATTCTACTCCCAGTGTCCTTAGGCCTGTCCCTTCTCTCTGCCTCAGTTTCCCAAGCTGTTCAAGGGGGCTGGTGAATCTAACTGCCCATCAGGAAGTGGTGTCCTATCGATGGACCAAGCCCACAAGGAATGGGATTAGGACATCAGTATACCCCACGGGATGGCGTGGTTGTGATGCTGGGAGAAGACTCTGGTCCTTCATCAGGCTGAAATGGTCCCTACCAGAGCCCAGCTCTCTGGTGAGAAGTGAGTGTCGTTTCCCTCTTTGAATAGATGGGGAAACTGAGGCATGGAGCAAGGACGCGGCTCCCCCTGACCAAGGGAGTCTGCAATACAGGAACTGTTGCCAGTTCCCTGCTTCTCTCCCTTGGAGTGATGACCAGATCCTTTGTTAAAGCTAGGGAAGAGCCAACCCCAGCTCACGGATGGACCAAATAAGCCAACTGATGCACTTTCTCCTCTGCTCCTCTGTTTGTGAAAATGGATCTTTCCAACCCTACCCCTTGGCATCTGGACCTTTCAATCTACCTCTCCAGGAGACTAACAGGTCCAGGGGAAAGTCGCTGAGGGTGAAATAGTCACTCCCAGATGATTCTCCAACCATTGCAGTAAGTTGGGAGTCGCGGTCCTTATTTCTGCATTGGGATGGATTCTATATGGCTAGAGACTTTCAAGCCAACATTGGAGTCTCTTTCTAACTGCACTAGTCTGACCAGAAGGTGGGGGCTAAGGACAGGAAGGGCTGTGGGACACGTCCATCACAGCCGTCCCTTCGTCTGCCCCTCAAACCACGAATCGATGAGTTCTCAGCATCTCGAGTGGTAGGGGATGTTCCACCACTACCGGGGTCTTAGGAACTCCCAGCTGCTTCTCACCATCTTCGCAGGAGCAAAGAGGAGAAGAGACTAGTAATAATAATGGAGACAATCTGAAGAACATGTGGCTGGCGGAGAAAGAAGAGAGCTGTCTGCAACTCTAAATATCTTCTGTCTCTCTCATAACTATACAACACTCTTCCCTGTATCTGGACACCTCGTAAATAGAAATAAACTATTCCCCTAGGAGGGTGGGGAAACACTGGGATGGGTTCCCAAGGGAGGGGGTGGAATCTCCATCCCTAGAGGTTTTTAAGTCCTGGCTTGACCAAGCCCTGGCTGGGATGGTTGAGTTGGGTTGGTCCTGCTTTGGGCAGGGGGCTGGTCTCGATGACTCCTGAGATCTCTGCCAGGCTTGGGATACTTATTCTAATAGGAATTGGTAGCTCAGCTGTTCTCCTAGGCAAATTTGGGACATCAGCCTTACGCCCCAGCTAATTATTCTACTACATCCACCTCCCCGAATCGCAGACATTTCTTAAACCAAAGCAGAACACCCTCCGCCTTCTGCAACGTGCATTGAACTTTTTTATTTCCAGCTAAGAGTTCCTGTTTTGCTACATCAGGTCTCCATTTTGAGTACTTGTACTGAGGCATCTCACCAACTTTACCACAATACAAGGTTTATTACCCAGCATTCCTGGGGCTGGGGTGGCTGGTTAATCAAATGTGCCAATTACTAGAGCATTACACTGCTGGGTCATGAATTTTTCACAGTGCACTAGCCATCGTTGCAGGGTTAGATATGGGATGGGTAATAAAATGGCAATGATTCACTGAGGTTAGCCCTTGGTGGACCGATGCAACTATATTTATCTGTGCCTTTGCAGGTACGGGGAAATCACAGCTCCCATTAGCCAGGATTCCTCATTTATAGCTAGGAAACTGAGGCATAGGTTGGCTAATCTATAAGTTAACCCATAGGTTGACATGCCCAAAGAAACCTGGGAATTGAATCCAAATTGTGAAACCATTGGATCATCCTTCCGTACCAGCACCTGCTCTTCACATTTTACCCATGAAAGCATATGCCTTAATAAATCTGTTCGTCTCACAGGGTACGTCTACACTACGGGATAAGGTGGAATTAAGCTATGCAACTTCAGCGACATTCATTGTGTAGCTGAAGTCAAAATGTATCTTGGCTTTTGGCGCTGTCCACACGGCAGGAAGTCAAAGGAAGAACACTCTCCCTTCGACTTCCCTTCCACCTTGTGGAAGCAGGACTACCAGCATCAACCACTGCACCCCGCTCAGTTCAAATTAGCTTGTCTTCACTAGACCCACTAGTTCGAATCCTAGAAGATCGAACACAGGAGCTTCGATCTTCTCTGTAGAGTCAACATACCCTTAGGTGCCACAAGATTCCTCCTCCTATTATAGTGAGATGCCCCTCACCTATTTTTGCCAAAAACTTTGGGTATGTCTACACTGTGCGGCTATTTCAGGATACCGAATTACCTACACAAGCTGCCCGTTATTTTGAAATATTTTTCGAAATAAGGGCACGCTATATCAGCATCCCAGTCGTGCTTTATTTCAAAATTTGGCACCAGGTAGATGCGCCAAATTTTGAATTAAGCTATTTTGGAACAGATTCGAAATAATATTTTGGAACTGATTCAAAATAATATAAATATCTTTATTTCAAGTTTGGGGTGCAGTGTAGACATACCCTTAGAGGCATGTTTCTGCAAGAGAATCTGAATACTCTGGATAGTCACAGAAAATAATCCTTTCTCTGCCTCCCTCATGTTACAGTCTCTCATCTTTGTTACCTACCAGCAGATCGAAGGGCCCACATGTCTTAGCTACGTCTGACCTGGTGCAATTCAAAGTGGAGTAAATTTCCACTGCATGGGTGACTATCCAATGGCACCAAGAGCTGGTCTCGCCTGGCCAAGTCACACCCATCTCACTTAATTATCCGTCCTCCAAAGGATAACTACAGCCATCTCCATTTTCTCCTATTGAGAGTATTTGAAATGGCAAGGCAGATTCATTGGCCAATGACTAAGCCTATCATAAGGGGATCAACCAATGGCTAGCTCTATTAGTCAGAAGACAGGAGAACATTGCTCCTCAATCTTTTTTTCTTCTTGTGCCCAGAGAGGGGGCTAATAAAAGCAATTCATCTTCTTGGGCGAATGGTTATGAGAAAATAAGCACATAAGGACCAAGAACTCCTAGGAGGTTCTGAAGTGCTTAGATACAATTTCACAGCTGCCTTCTCATACTTTTAAATCCAGAAGAGAATTGCAGTTCTCAAGGCTCCGGGGATCCAGAACTTCAGGGAGAAATGATGTGAGAAAACAAGAAAAAAAAATTGGAGAAACACCTGTGAATGTCTCTTCTTGTGATTAACTGGGCCTACAAAGTTATGCTAATTGTGAGCTCATCTGGGTATAGAGCTCCTTTGTTCTTATCTCTTGCTGTGATTGATCTAAGTACCGCTATACAGATGGTAAGCCATACTGGGGGAGTGTCTACCCTGCACCCTAAACTCAAAATGAGATATGCAATTGGGAATCTTATTTCAATTCCATTTCAAAATATGTTATTTCGAAACTTGGCACATCTACACAGCACCAAATTTCAAAATAACACGTTATTTCAGGACATCCCTTAACCCTTGTGGAACGAGGGTTGCCGGGATGCCAAAATAACACGTCCGTTATTTCAAAAAATATTTTCAAATAACAGGAGGCGTATGTAGACATGGGGTAGCTATTTCAAGATACCTCCGGTATCCCGCTATAGTCATGCAGTGTAGACATACCCAGGTGTATGGGCTACATGAGCATATGCTCGTAACCAATAGCAACAAATGTGGATGGGAAAGGGTCAGAAAGAAAGACCAACTGAATTCATCCAAACAAAAAGGCCAACTGAGGTCACTCAAGGGCTGTGTGAAGAACATGCCTGGCAAACAAGAACAGCAGAGATGAAAATCAATAACCCATGGTGGAGGTGTCAGAAATTAGGCCTGGCTGGTAGATGACATATTGAAGGCTGGAGGTTTTATGCTCATCCCTATCATTTGGAATTCCTAAAGAAAGAGACTTTGGAGGGAAAAATGACTTCTCTAACGAGATTCTCCATCACAGCTGCAACCTCACCATCTCCCTGGGACACGGAACCTCTTTCATCTTTTGAAGAGATGCCCAGATTGGGCCAAAGAGAGGGACCCAGGCAATACTACCACCGCCATCTGCTCTAGCTCAAAGTCAAACACTACCTGGGATGTGCGATTTTGTCTTCTCCCTCCCTCATCATCTGTCTTTCCCCCTTTCTGACGCCCTCTCTCTTTTCTCCATCTTCCCCGTAAGCTAGTTCAAACTAGGGTGGCTAATGTAGGCAATCGAAGTTACAAATGAAGCCCGGGATTTAAATATCCCGGGCTTCATTTGCATCTTGCCGGGCGCCGCCATTTTTAAATCCCCGTTAGTGCAGACTCCGTGCCCGTGGCTACACGCAGCACGGAGTAGATAGTTCAAATTAGGCTCTCTAATTAGAGAGTCCGTACTAACGGGGATTTAAAAATGGCAGTGCCCAGCAAGATGCAAATGAAGCCTGGGATATTTAAATCCTGGGCTTCATTTGCAACTTCGATTGCCTACATTAACCACCCTAGTTCGAACTAGGGTGGCCGTGTAGACATACCCAGTTTGGCTTAGCTAGCCAGAAGGAACATTCTGCAACACTCCTGTGACCAGAGGGGGGCCAAAGAAAAGCAATTCCTTGAACACCACAATGCCGCTACGAAGTTCCTACACCATGGAGTGGCTAGTAAGTCCGTGTGTTGTACGTGGGCTTTGCCAGCAGTGGGGTTGCAAGCGAAAGTCCAGACCAGAGACAGAACAGAAAAACCTAAGAACGGCCGCACAGGGTCAGACCAAAGGTCCACCTAACCCAGTGTCCTGTCTCCTGACAGTGGTCATTGCCAAGTGTCCTGGAAGGCATGACCAGAAGAGGGAATCACCATGAGATTCCCTCTCCTGTCGCTGATCCCAACCCATCTCAACCCATCGTGGCTAATAGTCATTGACGGACCTAGGAATTTATCTAGCCCAGGCCTGCGCAAAATATGGCCCATGGGCTGGATCTGACCCACCAAGCCACTGAATCCAGCCCGTGGAGGAAGCAGGGAGATCCAGGCAGGCTCCCCTGCTTGCCCCCACAGTCCTGGGTGCCATGCAGAAAATCGACTGCCAGGCTTTACTTCTGTTTTAAAACTGAAGGAGGGGAAAGTTTCAGGAACCATCTTGCCCCCAGCATAATCCCATTGGCCGATTTCTGGACAGAAACCAGCCAATGGGAGCTGCTTGTTTGAATAACAGGCAGCCATGAAGAACCACACCCCCTCTCAGTTATTCCCCAAAGCACATGGTCAGGCAAGCAGGCTGGGAAATGATTTTAACTCTGCAAGCCTTAGCTCTGCAGGTGGGCACCCTGGTTTGGCTGCTGGCTGGTAAGTCTCCTGACCACCGCCTGCTTCTGGCACCCCAGCCTCTCCTTTCCCCAGCCCTCTGCCCCCTCCCACTCATGATACTCAAACCCTCTGCCCTCCTCTTGCACCCATACCCCCTACCAGATCTGGCACCCCAATCTCTTGTGCCAGATCACAATCCCTTCCTACCCTAGGCCACATCCCAAACCCCTGCACTCCAATCCCCTGCCCTAGGTCACAACCACTTTCTTCACTCAAACTCCCTCCCAGTCTCTAGTCTCTCCAATCTCTTATCCCAAGCTCCTCTCTTCACCCACCCTCCATCCCAGATCCCACATCTCCTCCATTAATACCATGGAAGAGTGTGGCCTCCCTCAACCACTTTCCAAATTCTTGGAGTGACACCCCCCCATCAAAAATTATTGCCCACCCTGATCTAGCTCTTTTTTGAACCCTGTTAACGTTCTGGCCTTCACAACATCCTCTAGCAAGGTGTTCCACAAGTTATCCGCTGCATATTTTTTTTCCTATTTGTCCTGGTCTTTTTCCCTCCCCATTTTTTACAGGCATCTGCTTTATCTTCTTGGGAACGGGACCCAACTTTTCAAAACAGCTGCACTAGCTCCAGCCAGGCAAAGGGGGCAGCTGCCCTGGGACCCTGAGACTCTAAGGGGCCCAAGGCTCTGGTTGCTGCCCGGGATCCCTTGAATTGATGCATCTGCACGGGGCATTCTGAGTGGTGATGAGGGCTTTGGGGGGCTGGTGCACCCCCTGCCCTCGCTCCTTCCACCGTGGCACTGCCACTTCTTGGAGGATGGAGCCAACCCCCCAACCCTCTTGCCCAGAGGCTGTTGACTCCCTTGGCTAAAGCCCTTCTCACCTCTCTCCTCTTGACAGAACAGTTGCTACTGTCTTTGATGGCCTCTACAAACACCATCAAGGGAGGATGTTTTTCCTCCCGAAAACCTCTGTGCCATGCAAGGCAGGGGAACCAAGGAATTCCGCTCATATAAAAGCATTGGCTTAACGTGCTACATTGCACGGGCTTTACCTGGTTTTCTTCTCTGTATTTTTAATGAATGATTCACGGACTCGTAATGGCATGTTCACCATGGGGCATAGAATTCTGGAACAGGAAAGGATCTCAAGGATTGATCAAGTCCTGTTCCCTGCCCTCACAGCAGGACCAAGCGCTGTCTAGTCCAGGGTTTTCCAACCCACGGGTTGGGTCCCAAATATGGGTCACCGTTATATTTCAAAAGGGTCGCCACGTGTCTCCCCAGGTGTCTCTCTGCTCCTTCTCCTCCCCCCGTTTTTGAATTGCCTTGGGTCGCCAAGTCTTTGTGAATTGTCAAAATAGGTCCCCATCTGGAAAAGGTTGGGAACGGCTGGTCTAGACCACCCCGGACAGGTGTCTGTCCAGCCTGCTCTTAAATATCTCTAGGGGGAGATTCCACAACCTCCCTGGGCAACTTATTCCAGTGTTTCACCACCCAGACAGGCGGAAATTTTTTCCTGATCTCCAACCCCCCACACTTTGCTTAATATTGGACAGACCAGGTTAAAAAATTAATGCACTGAAGTACTGGCCTCAGATAAGAACCTGAGGTAGAGTAGAATACCATAGACCATAGACCCGTGGTTCCCAAACTTTTTAAGTGCAAGATCACTATGGCTGTGTCTAGACTGGCACGTTTTTCCGCAAAATCATCTGATTTTGTGGAAAAACTTGCCTGCTGTCTACACTGGCCGCTTGAATTTCCGGAAAAGCACTGACTATCTCCTGTAAAAGCATCAGTGCTTTCCGGAAATACTATGCTGCTCCCGTTCGGGCAAAAGTCTTTTTCCGAAAGACTTTTGCGCAAAAGGGCCAGTGTAAACAGCACAGTAGTGTTTTCTGCAAAAAAGCCCCGATCGCGAAAATGGCGATCGGGGCTTTTTTGGGGAAAACCGCGTCTAGATTGGCCACGGACGCTTTTCCGTAAAAAGTGCTTTTGCGGAAAAGCATCCTGCCAATCTAGATGCGCTTTTCTGAAAATGCTTTTAACGGAAAACTCTTTCGTTAAAAGCATTTCCGGAAAATCATGCCAGTGTAGACGTAGCCTATTTGAATATAAGTCAATCCAGGATCAACCTCAAACCCAATTACCTTTGTCCCACATCCTTCTCCACCACTTCTCCAAGACTCTTCCCTGCTCACTCTGTGGAGATGGGGTACAGGTGGGGTACAGGGGTGGGAGGAGGGGAACACCTTGATATTAATGGCTCCCCTTTTCTGCCTCCCCCACCCTGCACAGTGAGCTGCAGGCTCCCAGGGCAGCTCCAAGGGAGGTAGGGGCAGCTGAAGTAGTGGTACTTGATAGCCCCCCAGCCAAACCAGCCAGGATCCCCTAGTAGAGGCTCCAAGATCTACCAGTAGATCCCGATCTACTGGTTGGTGACCACTGCCATAGAACATAGGAACGGCCAGACTGGCTCAGACCAAAGGTCCATCTAGCCCAGTATCTCGTCTTCCGACAGTGGCCAAAACTGGATGTCCCAGTGGGAGTAAACAGAACAAGCGCCCATCATGCAATCCCTCCCCTGTCATCCATTTCCAGCCTCTGACAAACAGAGGCTAAGGACACCATCTCTACCCATCCTGGCTAATAGCCATTGATGGACTGAACCTCCATGAATTCATCTAGTTCCTTCTTGAACCCTGTTAAAATTCACAGTTTCCTGCAACTTCAACCCAACATATTGCATAGTGCCATGAGGCGGAATTGAACCACAGACCTCTGGAGCTAAGTGAAATTAGCCTCTACCACTGCAGCATGAAGCCAACTACTTCTCCACTGAGGGGCTGTGTCTACACTGGGCCACTTATTCCGGAAAAGCAGCCGCTTTTCCGGAATAAGCTGCGAGCTGTCTACACTGGCCCCTTGAATTTCCGGAAAAGCACTGATGATCTACTATAAGAAATCAGCTGCTTTTCTGGAAAAACTATGCTGCTCCCGCTCGGGTAAAAGTCCTTTTTTCGGAAAACTGTTCCAGAAAAGGGCCAGTGTAGACAGCCCAGTAGTGTTTTCCGGAAAAAAGCCCTGATCGCGAAAATGACGATTGGGGCTTTTATCCAGAAAAGCGCGTCTACATTGGCCACGGATGCTTTTCCGGGAAAAGGGCTTTTCCGGAAAAGCATCCTGCCAATGTAGATGCTCTTTTTCTGGAAATACTTATAACGGAAAACTGTTCTGTTTTAAGCATTACCGGAAAAGGGTGCCAGTGTAGACGTAGCCAGGCTGTAGAGCCAACTAATTCTCTCTGTCAGTGGTCTAGGTGCCATTACATGGGTCAGTGACCCACACCCAGGAGGTGGGTGGGTTACAAATGCATCACGCACTAGTTTTATGACAGGATTTGAAACCACGCTTGCAGATTGCCAAAGTACTGTCAAATGTTTCGTTTCCTCTTATCACATTGTAATTTTAATTTTGCCCATTTGAATGCGAGAGCAGTTCTACAAATATTCACCAGCAGTGTGTCTGCTGCTCACCTCTCTTCCAATATCACCACCATACCCAGAGGACTGAACTGAGATCTAGACTCAAACAACGCCACATGTTGATATGTGGTCCGGGAGGCAAGCCTTACACAGCTAGACTTAGGGTTTGTCTTCAAGATCGGCACTCCAGAAATTGATTTCTCGGGGTGTGATTTAGCGGGTCTAGTAAGGACCTGCTAAATCAATCACTGATGGCACTCCTGTGGATGCCAATCTTCCACTGGGTCTCGAGGAGTAAGGGAAGTTGACGGAAGACTTCCTCCCATTGACCTCCTTTGCAGCTGTTGACTCCAGCTATGCTATTCTCATAGCTGGGGTGGAGTATCTTAGGTCGACTTTCTCCCGTAGGGTAGACTGGGCCCAGGAGAAACTAACCTAACTTGCTGACCTTTACAGGAAGTTCAGAGTCAACTTGATCTCAGTGGATATGTACCTACACCGGGTGAAGACCACTTCTAGTACAAGTATCAGAGGGGTAGCCGTGTTAGTCTGAATCTGCAAAAGCGACAAGGAGTCCTGTGGCACCTTATAGACTAACTGAAGTGTAGGAGCATAAGCTTTCGTGGGCAAAGACCCACTTCGTCAGATGCATGTAGTGGAAATTTCCAGAGGCAGGAATAAATATGCAGGCCAGGATCAGGCTGGAGATGACCAGGTGGATCCAATCAAGGAGGATGAGGCCCACTTCTAGCAGCTGATCTGGAGGTGTGAATTCCAAGAGAGCAGAAGCTGCTTTTGTAGTTAGCAAGCCATTCACCTGCTATGGGCACCCGCATGGCCCCACAATACGCCAACATTTTTATGGCTGACCTGGAACAACGCTTCCTCAGCTCTCGTCCACTTACACCCCTTCTCTACCTACGCTACATCGATGACATCTTCATCATCTGGACCCATGGGAAGGAGACTCTGGAAGAATTTCACCATGATTTCAACAGCTTCCACCCCACCATCAACCTCAGCATGGACCAATCTACACGGGAGGTCCATTTCCTGGACACCACGATACAAATAAGTGACGGTCATATCAATACCACCCTATACAGAAAACCTACCGACCGCTATACTTACCTGCATGCCTCCAGTTTCCATCCCGGACACACCACACGATCCATTGTTTACAGCCAAGCACTGAGGTACAACCGCATATGCTCCAACCCCTCAGACAGAGACCTACACCTACAAGACCTTCAACAAGCATTCTGTAAACTGCGATACCCACACGAGGAAGTGAGGAGACAGATTGACAGAGCCAGACGTGTACCCAGAAGCCTCCTGCTACGGGACAAGCCCAAGAAAGAAACCAACAGAACACCACTGGCCATCACCTACAGTCCCCAGCTAAAACCTCTCCAACGCATCATTAGTGATCTTCAACCCATCCTGGACAATGATCCCTCGCTTTCACAGGCCTTGGGAGGTAGGCCGGTCCTTGCCCACAGACAACCCGCCAACCTGAAGCATATTCTCACCAGCAACTACACACCGCACCATAATAACTCGAACTCAGGAACCAATCCTTGCAACAAACCTCGGTGCCAACTCTGCCCACATATATACACCAGCAACACCATCACAGGACCTAACCAGATCAGCCATACTGTCAATGGTACATTCTCCTGCACATCCACCAATGTAATATATGCCATCATGTGCCAACAATGCCCCACTGCTATATACATCGGCCAAACAGGACAGTCCCTACGTAAAAGAATCAATGGACATAAATCTGATATTAGGAATGGCAACATACAAAAACCTGTAGGGGAACACTTCAATCTTCCTGGACACACAATTGCAGATCTAAAAGTAGCCATCCTGCAGCAAAAAAACTTCAGGACCAGACTTCAAAGAGAAACTGCTGAGCTACAGTTCATCTTTAAGTTTGACACAATCAACTCTGGCTTAAACAAACACTGTGAATGGCTTGCTAACTACAAAAGCAGCTTCTGCTCTCTTGGAATTCACACCTCCAGATCAGCTGCTAGAAGTGGGCCTCATCCTCCTTGATTGGATCCACCTGGTCATCTCCAGCCTGATCCTGGCCTGCATATTTATTCCTGCCTCTGGAAATTTCCACTACATGCATCTGACAAAGTGGGTCTTTGCCCACGAAAGCTTATGCTCCTACACTTCAGTTAGTCTATAAGGTGCCACAGGACTCCTCGTCACTTCTAGTACAGGCCTCTTTCAGCTAGCAGACAAAAGTGCATCAAGAATCTGGGGCAGTAAAAATTCAAATGAGAAATAAAAGGCAACTTTTTAACAGTGAAAGGAATTAATCATTGGAACAACTTCCCAAGGAAGGGGATCAATTCTCCTTCATGCAAAGTCTTTACATCAAGATTGGGGGTTTCTTCCTAAAGGTAGGCTCTCATCCAACCACAGGCTATTGGATCCATTAGGTTTTTTTACAATTGCAGAGTGGAATAATGGTCTAGCAGCATCACCAAAGCTTCCACTGCTTACTGGTCTCTTAGAAGACATTTTAGGGGTCAATTAGACCTAAATAACAGCACAGAACACTGAGAACCAGTCCCGTGTTTATGGGACCGTGGGAAACTTTTCCACATCCAGACATCCGGCTAACTCAAATTGTGCTGGACCATGGAGGTTGCCAGACCAGAGAATGCCAGACTAGAGAGATTTGACCTATGCTTGTTCCTTCTGGCCTTAAATTCCAGGAGTCGGAAAGGCCAGGAAAACAATGATTTGTTACTTTTGAACTGCTTACCCATAACAGTGGGGACCAAGTAACACTAAGGCTCCACAAGAAAGCACTTGACAAGTTAGCATAATAAATCTCTTTATTTCAACATGAAAAATATGTACAAGGTGAGAAATACAAACATCTGGGGAAAAGACAAGTTGTGCAATTTGATTACATAGATCCATTTTCCGTGCAACTTCTTATGTCAGTAGAGATTACACTTTGAATAAAGCAGAGATTACCGGGACAAAAAAAAAACCACCCCATCCTGGCCAAACATGCATTCAAAGTGGAGATGAAAGCACAGAAACGATAGACAGAAAGTCCAGTTACATTCAAATGATATGAGAACTTTCCACCGGCAGGTGAACACAGCAAGTACGCAGGTGATGGAGTGGAGCGAAGTCAGCTTTCTTAGGGCTCCTTTGGTAGGAGCAACCTTGACCGTTGGGTTTATTTGACCTGAAATGGTAGAAATACCGTTATGTAGGACACACATGTCATTCATTGAGGTCTAGAGGCTTCCAGAAAAGGCTCATGTTGAGTATTTTCTAATTTTCATTGTAGACCCTTTAATCTTACCACAATTCCACTCTCTTCTAGATTATTCTACTTTTTTCTACATAGGCTCTTATGCTTATGTAACCGCCAGGGGGTGGATTTGAACTTGGGACCTCTGGAACTGATTGTAGGCACCTCTATCCTCTGAGCTAAAAGCCAGCTGGCTCCCAGCCTATGCTGTAGAGGTACCTTGATCGTAACTGTTGCTGTGGTCTAGATACCACTTGCATTGCTCATTAACCACACTAGGGCTCTGTCTACACTTGCGGCTTCTTGCACAAGTACGCCCGTTCTCGCACAAGAATCTGCAGAGCGTCCACACTACCCACCCGCTCTTGCACCAGTAAATTTACACTACGGCATGGTAAGAGAGGGCTCCTTGTGGAAGAGCTACTCTCTTTTTTAACTGGTGTAAGCCCTCTTGTGCAGGAGCTCTTGCGAAAGAGGGCAGTGTGGACGCTCGGCAGGGATTTCTTGCGCAAGAAAGCCCTATGGCTAAAATGGCCATCAGAGCTTTCTCATGCAAGAGAGCATCCACACGGCCATGGGTGCTTTTGCGCAAAAGCACAGCTTGCACATGGCAGAGTGGATGTTTTCTTGCACAAGACTTCTTGCACAAGAACACTTGCGCAAGATGTTCTTGTGCAAAAACGAAACCTACGTGTGTGGGTTATATACTTCCCCTAGGTGAGGAAGCGCGCCCCCAGCTTCTGAGACCCAGTTGAGACCCTGGAAGAGCTCCCACTTGTAACCGCCACTGGACAGGTTTGTACCTGGGATCTCTGAAGCAGAGTATAGGAGCCTCTACCCTCTGACCTAAAAGCCAGCTGGCTCCCAACGGCTGCTGTAAAGGTCTCTTGGTCTTAACTGTTGCTATGGTCTCGGTACCACTTGCATTGCTCAGTAACCACACTAGGGCTGTGTCTAGACTGGCAAGTTTTTCCGCAAAATCATCTGCTGTCTACACTGGCCACTCGAATTTCCGCAAAAGCACTGATGATCTCATGTAAGATTGACAGTGCTTTTGCGGAAAAACTATGCTGCTCCCGTTCGGGCAAAAGTCTTTTTCCGAAAGACTTTTGTGCAAAAGGGCCAGTGTAGACAGCAGAGATTTTTTTTCCGCAAAAAAGCCCCGATCGGCTTTTTTGCGATCGGGGCTTTTTTGCGGAAAACCGCGTCTAGATTGGCCACGGACTCTTTTCTGCCCAAAGTGCCTGCAGAAAAGCGTCCTGCCAATCTAGATGCTCTTTTCCGAATGTTGTATATTGGGTTGTAGATATAATGCTTTTAACAGAAAACTTTTCCGTTAAAAGCATTTCCGGAAAATCATGCCAGTGTAGACGTAGCTTAGGTGTGTGGGTTCCACTTATATACAATATGATGGGGACTAATTTAGCTACAACTCAGGAGAGAGATCGTGGAGTCATTGTGGATAATTCTCTGAAAACATCCACTTCCTGTGCAACAACAGTCAAAATAGCAAACAGAATGTTAGGAATCATTTAAAAAGGGATAGTGAATAAGACAGAGACTTATTGCCTCTATATAAAATCATGGAATGCCCACATCTTGAATACTGCGTACAGATGTGGTCAGCTCATCTCAAAAAAATAATATCTAGGCATTGGAAAAAGTTTGGAAAGGGCAACAGAAATGATTAGGGGTTTAGAATGGGTCCCATATGAAAAGAAATTAAAAAGACTTGGACTTTTCCACTTAGAAAAGAGGAGACTAAGGGGGGATAGGATCGAGGTCTATAAAATCATGACTGGTGTGGAAAAAGTGAATAAGGAAAAGGTATTTATTTATTCCCACAATACAAGAACTAGGGATCACCCAATGAAATGAATAGGAAGCCAGTTAAAAACAAAGAAAGGGAAGTTTTTCTTCACTCAGAGCACAGCCAACCTGTGGAACTCCTTGCTAGAGGATGTGATGAAGACTAGGACTTTAACAGGGTTAAAAAAAGAGCTAGATAAATTCAAGGAGGTTAGCTCCATCAATGGCTATTAGCCAGGATGGGTCGGAATGGTGTCCCTCACCTCTGTTTGTCTCGGAATAGGTGACAGGGGAGAGATCACGTGAGGATTCCCTGTTGTGATCCTTCCCTCTGGAGAATCTAGTATTGGCCAGTGTTGGCAGACAAGATACTGGGCTAGAAGGACCTTTGGTCTGACTCAGTCTGACCATTCTTATGTTCTAGGATATCAAATCGTGTTCTTCTGAGTTTTATGTTACATAGTGGTTCATCTGGAGTTTGGTTTTGACAGCTGAGAAGTCATCTGGCCCTGGGTCTGGGACCCTGGGTTAGGTTCAGGAGTCCTATCTGGGCCAAAGATCCCCTGTGAGACCTTGAGGAAGTCACTTTCTTGCTCAGCACTCCACCTGTAAATTGGAGGCATCACATCTACCTTCTCTAGTTAGAGAACAAGCTCTTTGGGGCAAGGGCTATGGGATTACAGGACCTACATAACAACAACAAAAAAACCCTCAATGGTGTGGTCACAGGGGCTAGAACTTTTGGATCCCTCTGCTTTGTCTGCTTGCTGGATTCTCCACCAAATTGCAAACAACCTCCCGTCTAATGTACTGATTTCATCTCAGTCCAACTGGCATCTACTAGGCTGAGCGTTTGATGCCTGAATTCTCTTAAAGACCAACAGGAGTTGGGTGTCTAACTCTCTTAGGCTCCGACCCCAATTTCCGAGCATGTTCTAGAATCTATACCAGTGCGTTTTCCTCTTCTCTCCTCTCCCCCCCGCCCCCCGCCGACCGCAACATATCACGGCTTTACCTTGATCAGCGTCACTGTGGTGCTGTAGAAGAGACTTAGGAGAAAGAGGATGATGAAAGTGGAGGCCGTTGTCCAGATGTTGTTGAAATCTTCCTCTTCGGCATCCACGAACCCATCTAAATGATCTTTGGACAACACATATATATGCATGGGGTCAGGATCAGTTGGGTGGCACCATTGGGAGGAATCACTCCATACTGCTACAGTGCGGGGGAGGGAGACATGGTAGGAGGGGAGAGAGGTTAGGTGGAGTTTCTGCAAGGCACGTTAGAGGTGTTGGTCACAGAGGAGGTCAAGCCAGAGAGGGGCCCTGGGTTTACACAGGTGAGATTTTCAAAATCTGCCTCGTGCCCAATAAATTTGTTCATCTCAGCCCCCGGTTGTTTGAAAGGAGGGCTGTCTTGGATATGTGGAATTAAAGCAATTGGTATCATTGCCATCCCCTTCCAAATCAAGGTCTTCCCCTCCCTTTGGAAGACGTAACTTTAGACCCTCCGCTGGTGCAAATTGGTGTTGATCCCTTGTAGACAGTGGAGACGCAGCCAGTTTACACCAGTTGGAGACCTGGCCAATTTGGGTATCTCCCATGCTTATTCAAGGGGAGGCAGGAGGTCAGGCCTGGCCGCTCAATGGCATAACCCAATGACACCACCGTATCATTTCACTGTCAAGAGAAAGAGGCTATGGGTGGGGGGGCTGAGGGTTTCCTACGTCGATCAGGGTCTCTTGAAAATCTCTCCCCACATTTTTAAGAGGCTGTTTCTGAAGTGCCTTTAATGGGAACCTTGGAAGAGGAGGAAGGCTGGGTTTGCACTGCATTCATGGGTGAGGAATTGGAGTTGAGGGATAGACAGACAGACAGAGAGCAGAGGGGTGTGTGTGGCTACAGATTGCGATAAGGAATTGGAATCGGGGAATGAAGAGACAGATAGATAGCAGATGGGTGTGAATGGCGACAGAGGGCAATACTTAAGACTGGGCTTTTCAAAACAACCTAAGGGATTTGGATGCCAACTTCCTGGGAAGTCTTTGGCTAAGTTATTCCATAAAAATACAGAATCGAAGTACGGAAGCGCAGAAGGGTGAGAGACAGAGATATTGGTGGGCCCATATGTTTGGAGGCGTGTCCTCCTCTGACCACTGAACGTTATGTATGAATATATTTCTACCTACAGATTGCTGAACCCTGGGTGTCCCAGGGTTGCGAACTGAAAATGTGTGATGTTAGTTTTTGTGAAGAGAGCCTTGTTCAACTTGCAAGACCGATCCTGAGGGACTATTAAGAGGGACTCCAATGTCCTTGTGCCAGTGACCGCTTTCACCGGCATGATCATTATTCCAGCCAACATTTCCGGCCAACATGGTAGTCCTGCCAGAAGAACCTATGGGAGACTGAGCACCAGACAAGTTGGTGGTAGCTGATGACTGGAGAAGACCAACTGATGACTGGAGAAGACCAAGTCATGGACTGAGAACCAGAAAAAGCAACGATGAATAGCCATCAAAAGTTTTAATGAATCCAGTCAGAAGCTTCTCTCAACCTCTTGGATGTGTGGGAAATCTCAGATTTCCATTCTATCCTGCTACAGAGATTGGATGAGGGGGAAACCATAGTGGGATCTTGAGTGACCATGAACAGTGATGGTCTGATTTTATGTTCTCAACCAAAGGGATGTGTGTGAATGTAAGTTCTACCCAAGATGCAATGAGGTGTCCTACTCTGCCTTCAGCATGGGTAGGTGTGGGCCAACTCTTGCTTTGCAAAGATTCTGTGTAGTTTGGCATTGCGGGGGCAGGAGGTGGAGCTTTATTGAAAAGTGAGTTTTCTGAAAAAGTTGGGTTTTCATCTATGAGGAATATTGTTGAGTTCATGGCACTTTTTATATGAGTTGGTCAGAATTTTTTTTAAAAAAATCGAAACATTTAAATACTTTGGATTGAAAATGTGACATGTTTAATCCAGAAATGGAGCCATTTGCATTTGGAAACGGTGCCACGGTGCCTTATGGGAGTTGTAGTTCAGATATATTAGTTGCCCATTCTCTTCTAAAGACCAGGCTCCTTGGCCAAACTACAACTCCCATGAGGCACTGAAGAGGCATTGCAGAGTTGAAATCCTTTTTGGATTTAGGTCTAGTGTTGAGTCCCACCCTCCCAAAAAAAATCTAAGTTTGCCGTGGGAAGCAGAAACTGTGAAAAATAACATTTAACCCGACACTCTAAATTTCCATCAAAAGCAATTTTGCCCCCAATCATCCCTACTTCTGACATTTGTATTGACAATAAATAGGCAATTAAGCTGCCCAACAGGAACGGGAAAGAGGACTCCCTTCCTTGCCTAAGGTCTTCAGTTCCTGGCGTTTTGGTTTCCTTCCTTCCTTCTGCAATACTTTTCCATCTATCTTCCCCTCCATAGAGTGTGTCTTCTTATCTACCTACCTACCCACCAACCCATTGCAGAATCTGGTCCCATACATACCTCACTAGCCAACTATCCAAGCTATTAAATGATGCAATTATGGTACTTTTCACGCCAAGAATAGATGAGACACTCACTACCCAACAGGAAATATTTTGGGGCATTATTAATCTGGGTTGGAACCAGTGCACAAGGGACAAAAGATGTCGTCACTCATACACCCATCCTCTTAATATAGGAAGTGCATGACTAGATTAAAGCTGATGCCCATGAAAGGGGAAAAAACCCCGATCCCATTTCCTGTATCCCTGAACCAGCTGGCTCCCCACCTCTGGGACTAGATTGGTCCTGACACACCCTAGAACCAGGGTACCCACTATGGTGGCTACTGCTAGAGCAAACTAGCCACACTCAACCGGCCAAATAGCCACAGGTGGCTAGCGGCTAGCGTGTTGGACACCACAGCCTTAGAGGGAAATTCCATTCCCTGATACGTCTAAACCAGCTAGCTCTTCTTAAATGGGGTTGGATCAGAGCCTAGAAGACCTCACATACCTTTCCTTCACACCCTTTATTTTCTCTTTGACCCAACAATCTTGTGTTTTAAGATCGATACGGATACCGTAGGTTGTATCTCCAAGTCCTTTTCAGGACGCCTTTCTCAAAAAGCTGTCCCTGCCGCCCCCGGTGACGTTGCCCCTCGGTGTGAACAGAATAGTGCCCCCAACTTGGTGGCGATCAGTACAAAATTTGAGAGTGTTTGTTTGTTTTATTAGTGATATGGGTCCCTGTCCTATTAAGAAATCAACTGAGGTGCTGGGGTGCACACGGCAGTTGGTGAGGGGACATGATGCCCGGTTGGCAAACTGGCCTCTTTGGAGTCATGACCTGATGGATAACATGAATCATCATTTTCCACTGGAAAATAAGAGTTGGTCGATATTTGCAATGCTCCTGAGTGTACATTGCAAAGAGAGGCAATCTCTCAAAACATAGAATCTTTACCACATATGGAGGAAGTCTTGATGAAACATAAAGGGAAAGGTCTACCTGGCATGGATAAACAAACACTGATCGTTTTGTGAAAGCGACCAGACTGGGACAGACCAATGGTCCATCTAGCCCAATATCCTGTCTTCCTATCGTGAATTGTGCCAATATCTGTGGCCATTGGCAAAGCACTTCAAAGGGAGATCCTTTGAGGATTATTTCAGATGAATCTACTCTTTGATTTTTTTTGTAAGACTGTTGCTGGTTACTGTTGCTGGTTACTTGCCTACAACAATGAAACAGGTTTTTTTTTTCATATGACAGGTTTCATATTCTTCTTTATTTGTTACTGAGACCTGTTTCTGCCTAAGCATTTCTGAGAAACTTAGAATGCATGGATGAACATTGTGATATTGTCAATATCACTATGGTTGCATGTTTGAATGTCCCTGATCTTTAGTTTTCTTGGGAGACCAGGCATTCCAAAGAAACCATGAGCCAGAAGAACTTGTAGGTGCCAAGATTACTCCATGGGTTGGCCATGAGTGCGTGGAATGCCACAAGAACCAGGTGTGAGACCCGAATATTTCTTGTGAGCCTCTGCATTGAATTGGGAGATCGTTGAATGATACTAAAGATCGCGCAAGGGACTGTTTCTTGTCATCTTGTGTGATAACCAGGAAAGACGGGGACTGAGTCTTAATTACAGCACTTTGGCCCTGCAGAGCCACCTCAAAGTGGGTGGAAAGGACCCTCCCTCCTGAGCAAAGGGTCTCCAAGATGGATAGAGAATTGATGAAAGGGTTCTGCAGACGTATAGTTCAGCTAGAGCACCCTGCGATTAGGTGTGTGCACTGTTTGCTTCCAGGGTGTATGGGGAAGCAGTGAATATATCAGAGCTGCCCCAAGGGTGCTCAGAGACCAGGAGAATGCAAGGAAGAGAAAGGGAGTTTAACGCTGCTTTGGCCATTACTCAACTTTGGTCGTTACTCTACTTTGGCCACTCCTCTACTGTGGTCATTACTCTAATTTGGCCACTACTCAACTTTGGCCACTACTCTACTGACAACATTACTCTACTTTGGCCACTACTCAACTTTTGCCACTGCTCTACTTTGGTCTTTACTCTACTTTGGCCACTGCTCAACTTCGGTCACTGCTCTACTTTGGTCATTACTCTACTTTGGTCATTACTCAACTTTGGCCACTACTCTACTTTGGCCACTAACTCTACTTTGGTCACTACTCTTCCTTCTAACATCACCAGGAATGGAGTAACTGAGGGTCAAGCTAATTGTGTTCAATGGTATGAGACATGGGTGGAAGAGTTTGAGATTAGCAAGGAGAAAGCTGTGAGAAGGAGTGAGGACTGGAGAAAGAAGGCGATAGAAGAAGCATTACTGCAGTGCAAACCTGAGTGCCCAGTTCCTCTTTAATATGGGCAATGAACTCTTGAAATCCCTTCCCCCATCTCTGAGGACACATCACATGGTATTTTGGCCCCAAAAAGGACTTAAATATTTTCCACTTTTTTTCCCAAAATTGACTTTATTTCTAATTTTTTTTAAAGATGCAACCAACAGTTTTCCATTCCAGAAACAGCATTATTATACACACAGAAGGAGAGTGTACCACCTCTCCCCTTCCAAACAGCAGTTGGAGGAGCGAGAGGCACAAGGAGGGATGGGATGGCAAGGGAGGGCGTGACGGTTAGTAGCAGGTGCTGGCGGTATCGGACATCACCAGGGAGACATTGACTGAGGTTGGTTTACCGGTGGACTTGTCCACGGTCCTCTGCGTCACTTGCAGGGGCAGCTTCTCATGTCCGACTAAGCACGTGTAGGTGTTACCAGCATTCCATTCTTGCTCGCTGATGCTCAAAGAGCTGTAGGAGAAGTACAACTTCGATTGGCCCAACTCTGGGATGGAAACAGTGTTGATGTACTTGGAGGAAATCACTTCCTCGCCATTGCTCAACCATTTGATGAAGAGATCTGGTGGGTTGTAACCCTTCACCAGGCAGGTGACGGTGGCAGCTTCACGGAGGGCCAGCTGCTCGGCGGGAGGAGGGAAGACGTAGACAGCTGGTGCACGGCTGTCGGTTACTGTACAAAGAGAGAGAGAGTTGGAAAATGTCATGAATAAGTGACCTTCTAGGACCAAGGGATCCTTCATTTCATGATGGCTGGCCTTGGATCCAATGGAATGGACATGTAGAAGTTTCATGGGTTTCTATTCAAGGGAGGGTTGACTAGATGACTGACCTGCCCTAAAGTCAGAATGTTTGAAGGTTTGAGAAGGTGGTGAGAGTTATTACTTAAAGATGCAGACTATGGTTGGGATTTTCTACAGTCAACCTAAAGAACTGGAAGATTGAACTCCTCCTAATTTGTAATGGGACCCAGAATCCCAGACTCTCTAGGATAGCGAATTCTTTCCCCTTCGGGTGGATACTTTACAGCCCACGTGAAATATCCTGTCCCACCTCAGTTAGGACCATCTGTGAGCATGAACAATGGATGGAAGAGGGTGGACTTACCAGGCTGTTTCCGAAAAGTGTTTTTGATGGGGAAGATGAGGTCAGGGTGAGACACGATACAGGTGTATTCATCTCCTCGCTCCCACTCGTCCGCGCACACGGAGGTGGTGGCATCCACAGTGAAACGGCCATTGCCCTGCACCTTCCGGTCGCCCAGGGTGGTCTTCAGTGGCTTGCCATCCTTTTTGCTCCAAGTCACGTTGAGCCCTTCTGTGCTTTGCATATTACCAACCCTGCAGGTCAGTGTGGCTGATTTGCGGATGTAAATATCAGCAAAGGTCGGTGGGATAAGCGTGACGATGATGCCCTGGGGACAGTCAATTTCTACTGGAAGCAAAGAGATTCATGTGAACAATCTCATTTGATGAATTGTGTTGTGCTTAGTGTCTTACAAGATGCCCCCAAAAGACATGGGCAACT